GTTGCCAAATTTGGCATTAAGATGACTGCCAAAACAAGCAAACAATAAAAAATGTGTTGAAACTAAAACCAAAAAGCAGAAAAATGTTGCAAAAAGCTCGACAAAAGAAGAAATTATATTGCGAGCAAGACTACTTTTGCCATTGGCAGCGGTATCCTGCATGTGTAGTCCAATGCACACAATAACTCGAGCTTATATAGAGCCGAGTGTTTGTGGTGTGTGTGTGTGTATGTATATGTGGTTAAATGAGTATATAAATGTGCACTCATTAAGCGCGCAGCGTGAACTAACAAACAAACAATTGACAATGAGTAGACAAATAAGCGCTCGGAAACTACAAACCCACTAAAATTAGTGATAAAAAATGAATAAGAAAAACGAAAAATGGTATGCAGAAGGAACCGTGGATATCGTGGAACGTGGCAAATGGAAGTACAAATGTCTCAGAAAACTTTTCCGTTCAGCCATTGCTGCCCTTCCCACAGAGCTGATCCGCTTTCGTAAATATCCACACGCACGTTTGTGAGTTTTAAATACTCGGGGCAAATGTGGAGTCGTGGTGCAATGCTCTGCGGCCCTACCACTGCCTATTTAGCCTAATGAGTGCTAAACTGCAGCTAAGGGATACAACACCAGCAGAGGACAAATGTTGCAATATGGCTGAGGACAGTCGGGTAGGCGCACGCAGCAATTACAAAGTTGGCACATTCTTTCCATTTGCTGCCAAAAAGGACCAAATCTTTAATAAACACAAACTTACAATTAAAGTATGAAATTTAGAATAAATTCTGCATGCTTTTTGAAGTAATTCTCAAATATACATCACTAAAAACCATTACATTTTATTATGAATTGTTTGAGAATGCAAAAGACATTTTATGCCTAGATTACTTACTGGATCCAGCTGTAAAATAACATCGTCGTGAGTTTTCCTTTAGTTCCAATCAATAATTGAGTAAAGCTCTGATGTAAACGGCTTTCACTTTGATTTTTTGTTGTTGTTGGTATGTTTATAGCAGAGATATGTGACATGTCAGCAGCTCTTGACAATACGTTTGCGTTTAAGCGTGAAATTCAAAATTGATTCTCTTTAGCCAAGAGCTGGCGTTTTTTGACACAGACGTACGATCAATATTGGTATGTGCACATGCATGTATATGTATTAGAGAAAACCGTTAGTCGGAGGACCTTAAAGTTACAACTTGGAGTAGCTCATACTTGGAGAGCCTTTCTTAGAGGGGTCTATCAACCGATTCTTCAGAGTGCGAAGCGACAAAAAAACATTCGATTTTATTGACCCACCCTAATATATATATACATATATATGTATGTGTGTATTGATGTATCTTACTTACGCTTACTTAGAGGCGCTGCTGTTGTAAGAAAAAAACTCAGACAATAAAAGCAACTGTCAAAATATAATCAGAAGCAATATCCGGCGTGCCTCTCTTATTGGAATGAGCGAAATGAAAAATGATAAAAATTCCAGCCAGTGTCTTTTTTTTTGCTATTTTTAGAATGATAAATACAATAAAATTTTAATTTTGCTGCCACCGCAACAAAATTATATTAAGGTGCGGCTGGCACTATATGGAGTATGAGTTCAGATCCCGAAGGATCTCGAGCCATGGACAAAACAAACGCGCTTCCGAAGTTAATACTAAATTTTTGTATTTATATAACTTAGAAAATGAGAATTCGGAAAAAATTATATTAGTTTTTCGAGATGGTTTACTTCTCAAACTACACAAGAAGCGTGGGTATTAACAAAAAATTTTTATAAGCGTCAATAGATTTATTTATTATTCATTTTGTAAAGATGTGCCTATTTATTTCCTCCAGCTTGATTCATCACATCACATTCACATTTTTTTCCGATATAAAAAATAATTTTGATCATCTATGGGCTTTTTGTAGCAGTATCTGTAAATTGACTTAAAGAGATATGGCGATTTCATAATGTTCAGAATGAGGAGACAAATTCAGCTTCAAAATTTATAAGTCAGTAACTATTTATACTAGTACTGAAGCTAACTACATAAAAGATGTGAAAATAAGGTTATGCAAAAATGCTATACAAAATGATTGAGAATGGAGTCCTCGACGGTTCTTTCCAAATTTTTTGTCTCGTGACAATTTGCGAAAGTATCGAGTGTTTGGTTTGGAACGAGCTTGGCTCTTCCTTTATTGTTGTTCCATTGTTTTACACACGAACGAATTTCAATTTGCTACTTCCAAACACCGCCGCTTATATGTTGTGTCACATCACCGAATCAAAAGGACATATTTCCGACGCTTTCTAAACTGAGACACTGTCATCTTCCGTGGAATTCCTTCGAACACAACCGCCTGCATGATTATGAAATCTTGCTCTCTACAAGCTTAACAAACATGTCTATACATATGGTGTGTATTTGAGTACATTTCTATGCTTATATGGTAGACACATAACCCTCGATGGGCTGAAAGTCCACACCGCTCTTTACAAGCAGCTTTTCTTTTCAAGGAAGCGTGAAATTGGGTAGGCGCTAGCGTTGGCGCTGAAGCTACGCCACCACATACGCTACTATATTTATAAACGGTTTTACATTTAAACTGCTAAGCGCTTGTATATTGACGCGGCAATGAACGCAAGTGCGTTGGAATTCCACTCTGATCTTTGCTATGGCAAACAACAAACATTTTTCGTCAAACCCTCACACATACATAGGTGCATGTCGAACATCGATTAAGCACACATGCCTAGACACATCACGCATACATGCATACACACATACAAATGTGGTACATAGATGTGGAAATGTTTTCACTAAGAGGCACACACTCACAGTCTTGTTTACTCGGCATTTTGCGGATGAAAGGATGTGCGTAAACGGCAAAAATATCACTAAATCACTATTTTACTCATTTCAATAATTCGCTTTGGTTTTTTCTTTATACCAACGCACACAAATAGTGCACACACTCACACGCACATTTACATATAAGATTACAAGCGCCTACGCTGTACAAAGTTTGCCTGTGTTGCCACACATTCTTTTCACTTATCAAGCCGGTTAAAATTTTGAAAAAGGTTCGCCATACTTCGCCTGCGATGACTTCAAGAAAAATGACTCCTTTCATAGAAAAAAACGCCAAGGTGTGGGAAGGTGCTCGAGTATAAGTGCTTATACATACTTGTATGCAGTTAGCTACTAAGGCATAAACAATTCGTAATATTTCATATGTGCTTACATAGTCGATAATTTCAAACTTCTATATATGCGAGCCATAATTTTCACAGAACAGGGTGGTCCAAAAAATAAGTTTTATCAATCTTAAAAGTACCGTCTCGTCACTTGTTCATAACATAGCACAGCTCTACAACAAAAAACGTTTTTGTTAGCAAATTTTGTTGTTTTCAAATCCTCAGATTACGAATTTATTCATGAAAGTATTGAGTGTCCTCTTTTTTTATGATTATTGCAATTGTTATATTAATATCAATTATCGGCTGGTTTTTAAAGCTTTATTAAATCAAACGTGGATATTTAACCCAATAAAAATTGAGTACAGTCTACCAGTGGCATAAAATAAACTCGATTATTAAATACGTTTACAAGTTAAGAATAGTATAAATAAGTAAAATAAACTTCAGCAAATCTTACAAAATTATAGATAGTTTCACGAATTGTGAACACGTAATCGATCTTATGTCTAGGGCAACAAAGCCACTGTATTTTAATAAGAAAAATCGATCATCAAACAAATTGAGGAATTTTTAATATAGAAACATTGTTTGTTGAAGGAATGTATTGAAATTTTAAAGATCTCATATAGTATACTATCAAGTATTACATCTAGTGGTCAACCCTGTAATCCATGCTGATTGTTTTTGTAGTATTGCATACGTGTAGGCGCTAAAGCAGATATAGTCATTGGGTTAACCGTTAACAGTTCATGCGTTAAAAGTATATGCGTTTATAAAATTAAAGTGCTGTTAAATTAAATAATGCGTAAGACCTTTACTAGTGCCTTTACTGCCTACTAGGGCATCAATATGCAAGCCTTTTGTATAAAATATGGTCGAGATGTAATTTTTTATTTTTCTAAAGAACTTCAAATATTCAGAAGACGTTGGGCAACCTAAAAATGCATGAACCAATTGTAAAATTATTAAATAAAATACGTAGCTTATTTGTTGAATAATAGTTAGAAACTAGTTAGACTAAATCTTTTTATCTAAACCTCCTACATTCAAGGATAAGCTCTTATAAAATGCCCTCCCAATAACCTTTTCCAGCTCGCTTTGATTTTGCTTCAGTTTTCCTGCAGGATATTTTTCTGTCAGCTAATAAATATATATATATATATGTATGTAGAATCCAATATATAGAATACACATGCAAACAAATATATGAACGCATATATATTTTGCACTTTGGCCTGGAAGGATGCTCCTGTTCTATGCTTGTTTACAAACCCTTTTTATACACTGGGTGCCTATGCGATGGCAATGATTGAATGAAGAGTGTTGAATGAGGTTAATGTGTGAGTGTTTCATACGTTTGTACGATTTTTCCGCTCGAATTTCTTTTATATAAGCACATTTTTTATTTTGCAATTTTTTATTTACTTTGCTATAATATTTCATGTTCTATTTTCCTTCCACATGGCCAACTCAATCAATTTAAAATGTGGGACTTTTTAAGTGTGCTATAATAATCACGCGATGATTTCAATCGATGTGGTTGAAAAGAAAAAAGGTTTAAAGCTTTTGAATGGTTTACAAGAAAAATACTTATATGTAATTATTAGGATTTGGATTTTTTGCTTATACTTGTATAGTATATATACATAATATGACTTCGTAGTTTTGCATATAGAAATACTCACACACTAATCTGCTCTTAAATTCTTACTTATATAAAAAATATTGGAATTATACATATTATTCGAAACAATAAACTAAAAATCAATAAAATCATATATAGTTGGTAAATTCCATATTCGTTTTACAGAGTATTCGTGTAATATGTGCAGATTTTAGACAGTAAAGCCTGAAGTTAAGAATCAAATCTAACAAGTCCGCCCACAAAAGCTCATTCGCAACAGCTGTCACCATCGATAATGCCGAAGGCCGCCAATTGAGCAGATATGCGCGAATAATGCTAGCCAACAAATTGTCTATAAAATCCTACATATAAAAGAGTATAAGACCTACGTACATTCAAGCCCACTGTTGGGTAGTTAAAATATCAAAATGCCAGCGAGGCTACTAACAACAGGAACTCATAAAGCACAGCATAATAAAGCTCTAAATTGGCATAAAGACAGAGCAAGTGGCATGTGGACATATTGTGTGAGCAAACCATCTGCTATTTATGCGTGTGAAACATGGTTGAGATGGTGTTTGGTACTGACGTGTCTGCTGACAATCCCAGGTGAGTGTTTATTGAAAGTATTGCAAGTATGTACCATATATAATATATGCTTTATTATTAAGCCATATACACTTTAGATTAAACTTTAAATGTGAAATATTATTCGATCCATATTGAAATAAAAAAACTTAGCTAAAGTTCCCATATATGTTATCACTGATATCTCTTATATATAATACTTTCGTGGTACCAAAGACGGACGTCCAAATATCGCCCAGATCGAACCTAATTCTTTACGTTCCTTATTTATTCCACAACGTTTCGTCGTTTCTATTTGCTGCCATAATAGTAAATTAAATTGGTTAAATTGTCGGAAATTTAAGCTTTGGATATTGGTACAAAAATCTCACTACCAATAATAACCATTTTGGTTGCCTAATTTTATGAAGGTTATCGCAAGAGAAAAATAATAAAACTATGCCAAATTTTCAAATTTCATCAGTAAAACAGCAACCAATATTTGTAGCAACACACATTTAGTGTGTGTAAAAATAAGAGATTGTGTATGTTGATGTAGAATAGGCCACAAGGGAGCTGACAATTGATAGGTATGCTCATATATATTTATATATATTATTAACCACGCGTAAAATGTTTATTGTTCTTGGTGATTTTCAAACGCAAATTTGTTCGGATATGCTCTATTGAGAATGAAAAGGATAATACCGCTGTTTTTACAGCGTTTTCCGCAGTTAATTTTTATTAGCTGTGCAAATGCAATTTAATCCTTAAATTACCATTTTATACAAACAAGAAAAAAATGTAACTTCGATTGCACCGTAGCTAGAATACCTTCCATAAATAAAGAAGTTTTCAATCAAGAACTTAATTTCGATCGTTCTGTTTATATGGCAGCTATATGCTATAGTGACTCGATCTGAACAATTTCTTCGGAGATTTCACCGTTGCATTTGACAATAGTCCGCGCCAAATTTCTTGAAGGTATGCTTTGAAATGGAAAAGCTTTCCATATAAGCACTTGATTCCGATCTCTCAGTTATATGCTATAGTGCTGCGATATAAACAATTTTTTGGGATATTGCAATATTGCCTTAGACAATAACCCGAGTAAAATTACTTCAAGATATCTCCTCATATGACAAAGCTTTCCATACGAGCACTTGATTAGAAGTGAGCACTTTATGCTTTATGTATATGCTATTGTATAGTGATCCGATGTCAGCGGTTCCTCCAAATGAGCAGCGTGTTGATAAGAAAAGGTTGTGTAGAATTTTCTGGTCGATCTTTCAAAAGCTGACGGACTAGCTCACATATACAGATGGACATACGGATATGGGCAGATCAGCTTAGTTCGTCATGCTGATCGTTTATATACAATATTTAACAGAGTATTCGACTCTGGGTGTTACAAAATTCATGGCAAACTTGATATACCCTGTTCAGGGTATAATTATGTGTTGCGTAAAAGTATTCAAAAACATTAGTGACATCCACGTTTTTGTGTAAGTAGTAAAACTTCGGCATGGATAAATGAAAGTTCAATCAAAGCCTGGGTGTTCAGTTTTAGTTAAAATAATCATGATATTTAAAAAAAAAAGTAATAAAAAGAAATTTGTTAGATCTAAGTATAAAATTTGTTTATTTAAATAACACGACACACACAGGAGTGTCAAATATAGCAATTATACATATACTTTGACAATTGAACAAAGTCATTGTATTATCTTACTTTGAGTGTAACTTTGAAATTCACGCCGGTGAACTGTGTGTACTTTTTTTGTTCTTATAATTTCAAGTAGCGCTTTTAATTTCAATCTATTATTTTTGACGAAACTTTTTTCAAATATTATTGCTGCTTTCTTATTTTAATTTTTATTTGTGATGATTACCATTACCATCTAATTGTTTTGATATTTAAATTATTTATTCCCGGTTCACCATTTTATTGTTTAGCAGTTTTATTATATTAGATATTGTATATTTTCTTTTGTTGTTCTCAATACTCCTGGCCAAGAGCGAGGGCTTAAAACTTTTGTAGGGATGTTGATATCCCTAATAGAGTAAGCATAAACTATTATATTCTTGTGTTATCTTTCTTATAAAAAATTCGACCGACTTCGATTTTTAAAGTTTTAAATAGCTTTAAGGTCATTAGTTTTACATGAGCGTAGTAAAGAAACGAAAGTGGTAATAATCTGAAAAAGAAGACGGCTCACTATGAAGAAAAATCACAATAAGTAAGGATAATTGTGCAAAAATGTGGAAGATATAAAACGCACATTACAAGAAAGTATACTTAGTAAAAAAAAATACAATACGATTAAAAAAAATATTTAAGGGAAGAAAAGCTGAGCATGACATAAAGCTTTAAGCGAAAAATCAAATATCATAGTAAAGAACTGAAAAGTAGCTACAGCTAAAATGGCAAATAAAACCGACGATTGCGCAGCAATAATAATATTGTCAAAATGCGGCACAAAAAAGTAAAACCAAAAACAAAAACAAATCATAATTTTTTGCGTGATGAAGTCGCGTTCGGTCGGATTAAATGGGATTTTCTTGCAATTATTGCAGTTTTTCTTAGTTATTACTTTTTCATTGCGATGAACTCGTCGTCGTTGCCACTATATACTTGCATTATATTACATATACCTAGAATATATATATCGATATGTAAGCTCTTGAGTATATTTGCCGTGTCTACACTTTCTTCGTATTGAACTACGTGAGCACAAGAAGATTGCAATAAAAGCAAAAGTAACGTTATTACTTCGCAATGGCATTCTCGCGCTCTGTGACTAGAATATGTGAAAATAAAAATTATTTCAATAGTAAATACCAATACTATGAGGAATTGCAGAAAAATAATAATTAGTTTCGCTAATTATTACTTTTAAAATATTCAGTTGAAATGCTATACAATGCGACAGCACAAGTTTTTGACATATTAAAATTTTATTTCTTAAATAAATGAAAACATATGTAAACTTTTGTTTATAGCGTATACAGGATAGGAAGACATTTAATTTCTCAAAGATTTAGATCCGTCGATATCGGAATAAGTTGTTCAGAGCGGAGCTGCCTTACGAACTGACCGCTCAAAATCAAGTTTTTGTATTGGAAACTTTTTTCGTTTTGAAGGACACCGAAATTAATGTATTTTCATGTATTTGCCCAATCAAGCTTGTTCTAATATTATACACGAAATATGCATTTCTATTAATTAATATATTATTGTTTTTTTTTCTATATATATTCTCTCACACAATGCCATGGCCAGGTGCCAATAATTTGTAATACTCACCCGCATTAAGTCGAATATTAATTGATTTTCTTAATCTTCCATCTTTATTTAACCTGAGAATCAAAGATGAAAGCGAACACAAATGTCTAAACAAGCTGTCACTTTCATAAATGACAAAAACGCCAGCACCTGCTTGATAAATGCGGATTTGATTCATGCACGCACACACTCATAACACATATGGAATAACGGTACACACATATGTAGATGTATGTAAGCTTAAGAAAAATATTTACCCACATACTACATATGCATGTAGATATGTGTCCTTGCTTGCGTGTGCACAATTGTTTGTACATGCATACAAAATTGGCTCGGGGCTGCACATAAATTATGTTTGGACAATTAATTAAAAGTGAAAACCACTAGCAAAATACAGAACTAGCGAAAGGAGCGGAATGAAAAGAGCCAAGCGAGAAGGTGTAAATAGACGTTGTAACAAAAACGTAGCCAAATCGCCTCGAAAATATATATGGTAAAGCACCACTTATGATTTACATAAGTGCAATAACTGTACATGTGTGCGCCGCAATAAATGTATTGTATGTGTGTCGGAATACGGTTGAGTGTGCCGGTGAACCGCCCAACAACGTTCGATCAGCATTAAAACACTCTCACCTTTGTTACGTGCTTGCTTGATAAATGGAGTTTTCGGTTAGCAAAAACACTCACGCACATAGCCACCCAGCACGGCTGTTGTTCTTGTGCATTTCACACACGCACACACACACGGAATTGAAGCTGGCACAGCCACATTGAGGTGCTCGGAAAATGAATCCTCACCGCTAAAAGTCCTCTGCACGACTCCACTTTACACCATAGTTTCTCTCGATCCTCGTACGCAAACACAATTACATTCAAGCAACAACAATGCGGAATTAACAAAAGCAACAACGAGATTTTACGTTTGCTCGCCATTTACAGATTTGTATTTATGTACACACGCACACTCATACACGCACATACACTTGAGAGTACAAATAACAATTTAATAAATTTTGCGAAATTCCTATTCTTCCAGCGTCACACCAAACAAAGGCGCGCAAGCAACAGCAAATGCGAGCACACAAAATCCCAGCATTTCCACCCATATTTATGTATGTGTGCGTGTGTAGGGCGTGTCTTTGCACACGGCATTCGTTCAGGCAGGTGTTCAAATCGCCTCCACCCCACACGAACATCCACGCCACACGATAATTTTATGGAGCATATTTGTTGTTGCCTTGCAAACGAAATTGAAATCTCATAATCAGCATTTCTGGGCAACCGTAAAGTCAAATGAATTGCTGCTGATTATTGCATTTTATTACAAGTACACTGTTGCTGACTTTGATTTTCAAATCACAAGCGCACTTATTAAATGTGAATGTGCTCCTATATTTACATAACGCTAGTTATGCGTGTGTTGGTATGTGTGTGTAGAACAATAACACATATGCATATACACGTATGTGCATTGGTGTTGTGTATATATGCACTTAATAATATTAGGAAGCCGGGATGTAGGTGTGTCTGTGCGGCTGTGTGAGCACACATTCCCATTGCACGCCAATAATTCGATTTTACTTTTATGTTTCAACATTGTGTTTTTGTGTACGTGGCAGCTTTATTGAAATTTGATTTAAGTTCTGAGTGTGAAGTATCTATACGGGTAGTACGCGGACCTAAGCAAATACATAAGCTTGTATAGCATATATATATGTATAAACGTAATACACAAACGTATCTTGATGAA